CATTATGATTGATCAAGCAAGCAAACTGTTTTACTCACTCATTCATTCACTCGATCAATCGGCAGTCACTAACTGTCGCATTTTCCCCAACAAGTGATGCAATGGAGCTTTGGATTTTTTGGCGTGCTCCAGTGCTTCTTGTACCGCTGGTTCAATGGCCAATCGTTCCCATTGCGATAATAGCAATGTGTTTTTGGTAATGAGCGTATAGTTGTCTTGCAAATCGTGACAATACGGCAGCAATTGTTCCACAAACGTACACCTCGTGGCGGTTGTCGTGTGCGGCAATCCAGCGACAATATGACTACACGAGAATAATTCTTGAGTCAAACGCGATGCCAACAAGGTAGCGACGGGAATCAAATTGACTTCCAAATGGACTTGTTCCAACAATCGACCAAAATCGTACGGTGTCAGTGCGGCAAAGATGCGGTTCCATTTGGGTTGGGGTAAGCGTTCTTCGATAATGTGTAAATCATCGGTGGATTGACTCATGACTTTTGTAATCAAATCTTCCAACATGGCTTTTTCACTTTGTTGATTGTCGTCCAGGAGTGGTGGACAGTTGGGAATTTCCTCGGCCAACTTTTCTTCTTGGTAACTGGTCGGAATGGCTCCTTGAACAATTTTAATGGGGAATTTGAATCCGGGGTTGGTAAAGAAGACTTTGGTATTGAGTTGAATCGAGACATGATGTGTGACTTGGATCAATGTACCACACCGGGTATCGGCCACACCGGTCGCTGGAGGAATTTCAATGGTGCAATTCAAGACGGTGACACCTTCCTCGTGTTCCTTGTCTACTTTTTTGCAGAGCAATTCGTGCAAGACGCGTTGATGATTGTCTTCTTGTCGTCGTTGTTTGGAATTGAAGGATTGTTTCAGAATGTCGCGATCGGCCAAAGTATCGTTATTGTTGGAAGCATCACAGAGAAACGTTGTTGTAGCGAGTGTGGTATTGAGTGATTCGATATGACGTTGTTCCTGAAGTGGAAATTTGGAATAATCGGTGCGTTGAATCAAGGCAATATCGACACTTTGGAGTGCGGCCGTACTGTCATTGACGACGGCAATGCGGACTTTGACTTTTTGTCCCGGCACGACCAGTGTATCCATGATTTTGGCCGCCACGGTCATATCTCCCTGATTGGCGACACTAAACGAGGTAATATCGGGAGAAATGGGAGGCACAATGGCCGGGACAATCCGAGTGGGTTGGGTTTTCGCCAAGACATGGACGGTATGCCGGGCTTCTACAGTTCCATCGAGAATGGCGGATAGGGTGTAGCAAATGACGGCCTGTTCTTTGATGCGACCGTTGCTCGGGACTTTGAGTGTCACGTCCATACTGGAAGGAACTCCCGAAGGAATGCGCAGTTCGATGGGAATCTTGAGGACATCATCCGAATTGGTGGTTGTTCGTAATCCCTTCAACTGCAAGTTCAGGAATTGACAATCGTATTGCTTGGTGTGAGGATTGTGCGCCGGACCCGTCTCGTGAATCTTGGTGAATTCTTTGCCTTCCAAATAGACTTGTAAGCGACCACTATCCAATGTACTAGCGGACAAGGGACGGCCACCACATTGTAGCAAATTCGTCGTCTGGGACACGGGAATCACCAACTGGCCCTTCAACACTTGTCCGGCACGGACGGGAGCATCGTCCTTGGCCAACACAAAGTAGCACTTGTTGTTCATCTTATAGTTATTATTAGTAGCTTGGCTTGGCTTGACTTGACTTCACTTGGCTTGGCTTTGGTTTCACGGAATACTGAGAGTGGTGGGAGGGAGGAGGGAGTACTGTAGTGAATAAAAAATAATGAGAAAACCTTGTTAGAAAGATTGCGGTCACTTGACTTTTGGATCTTTGGTGAAAAACAGCAAGGCTGAAGAATCAGTGGGTTCGATCGGTGTCGGCAACACTCCCTTGGGTTGCCAAAGAATTATCTCAGGTCCACAGAAGCTGATAGCTAGAAGGGAGAGGATCCACACGACAAACAAAGACCTAGCTAGCTGCTGTACCGGTATGGCTAGTAGCTACTGAGTACCAATACCGGTAGCTAGTAGGCATAGAGATGGTAAAGCAGGATACAATGAATACAAGAGCAGTGCAAAAGGTGATTCTTCGGATCGGATTGCGATCCGGGGAGCCGGGGAGGCCGCAATATACATGTAGTACCTCTAGCTAGCTAGCTAGCTAGTAGTGGTGGATCAGCTGTTGTGGAACGTTCGAATCTTCAATTCCTCGATAGGACCTTGTCGGTCCGGTAGACTGATCTTGCCCTTGCCAAGCAAGGCCGGCCCCATGATAAGTGTTGCATCATCATCAGCATGAGGAGCTGGGCTTTCAGCGTGGGCTATGGGCTATGGCACACCCTCTCTCAAGACAATGGGGGAACTATTTATCTTCAAAGCAACGGCCCATCTAGCTAGCTAGCTAGTCAGTCAAGCAGAGATGGCTGTTGGTGCTGGGAAGATGAGTATATTGCGTCGGGAAGGCAACAAAACATCCTAACAACAGTGGAACCAGATCGATTGGCCTACACGGAGTTTATTGACAGCCTTGTTGCTTTTTTTGTCATTGGCCTGCAGCAACGACTGGACCCCAACCGCTGATGGGACGGCAGAAATATGGGGGAGGACGGAAAACTTGACCCGTTAAAAATAGTAAAAATACGCCAAAAATGGATCTGTTTTCTTGTAAACGAGGGAAACGGGCAAACATGGTCGACCGTAAATTCGAGTGTGTCCCGGAGATTTGGTTCTTAATATCAGGGCTTGAAACCTTTTTAGAACCGTTAGAAGTACGCCGCAAAGACCGGAAGTTAAAAATACGCCGAAACTCCGGGAAACATTTTTGGGCTCAAAAAAAGTGTCAGACGTGGAGACAGGCAGGGATTTCTGGGGGCAGGTGTTGCAGTAGAAACACGGGCTGATGCTTAGCTAAGCTTATCCATGTACAGTGCAAGGATGAAAGCATTCTATAGGAAGCAATGGCACCAAGTTTCTTATCACAGATTCCATTGTGACACAACATGGACAAGGCCACCACATTGCCGTTTTTATGAAATGCGGAAGGACTCTAAAGGGTGCGATCGTCGTCGTGGGGCTCCCCTTGCGATGGCAAATCCAGCAGTGGGAGCAGCTTGACGAGGGGTATTCAAATGGGAGAATCGTTTCCAGAACCAACTTCAGGTACCGCAATGAAACTCTCAGCTTGTCCTTTAGTCCAAACCAATCCTTAGCTCAACAAGCACAGGGACTAGCCACTGTGTGGACTAATGGACCGGCTGGACCCAAGCCTTCAAAATATCATGTAGTATACTATGCATTAATATCTGGTTCGAAACCCAGGCAACGGCTGGTGCCTCTATTACTCCTTGTCTTCCGTTGGAACATCTTCCTTTGGAAGCTCTACCAGGGGCACGTTTTCGCAATTCCTCCCCGTCTTGCAAGCATCCTCTTCCTCGCAACGACTCATCACCTGAACTTCGGCAAGCTCCAATGGTGCACAAGTGCCATTGAAGTGCTTAGTGGATACTTTGACGTATCGAACATTTTCTTCTTCGAACTTGGCAGACCAAACAGAATTGATAATGCCATCTTCCTCGACATCATGCTGGGCCGAGTTCAGAAGGTTGCCGAAAGAATCCATCAGCTCCACCAAGACACCATTAAGTTGTTCAAAGCAGCAATCTCGACGATTGAACAACACGACTTCAGAGACGTCTCTTCGAGTTTCGAGGTCCACCATCCACCAAGGCTCAGGCTCGCATTCTGTCATAGAAAGAGTTTCTTCTCCATCTGTTGCCTTGATAGCTACAGCTCCATCGAGAGTAGAACTCTGCTCTGATAACTTGCACTGAGCCACATTTCCGTCGGTGCAGGACTCCCCCTTGAGGCAGGCATCACCCTCACGGCAGATGCTCATCACTTGCACATCTGCAAGGTTCAAGAATTCACATGAGCCTGGAGGATTCGAAATGGAGAGACGAACTTTACGGGCGATGAAAAAGTCAATCTGGTTGAAGTCAGCAGACCAATCGTCTCTGATCACTCCGTCGGCGGAGGGATCGTGCTGCATTTCGGCTATAGTGGTCCCGTTGGCATCCAACAACTCCACAAGAATGCCATTCAATCTGTCTTGGTAGCCATCCAGTCGGTTAAAGACAATCACTTCGCTTACGGGGTAATCATCCAGTAAATCAACCTCCCACCATGGTTTTTCTTCACATTCTGTGTGTGCCAAGCGAGTGCCCGTTCCATTGACAGCATTGCTGGCCACGAATCCCTCTTTGGTGGATATCTGACGCGCGGGCTTGCATTGGGCTACATTACCGTGCACACAGTCAGAGATAGTCAAGCAGGCGTCACCTTCCTCGCAGGCACTCAGAACTTCCACATCCGCTAGATTCAAGTAGTCACAGCCCTCAGCATACGACTTTGAAATCCTCACACGAGAGGCAGGGATCTCGTCGAACTTGTGCAACCAGGAAAAGTGAATCAGTCCCTCCGTATTAGGGTCATGTTGGGCGGAGGCGACAACGCTCCCACTGTCGTCTAGTAGTTCCACAAGGATTCCGTTCAAGCGTTCAAAGAAATCGTCCTGTCGGTTGTGGACAATAACTTCACTGATTTCTCGCATGCCCATCAGGTCAACTTCCCACCAGGGGTTCGTCTCACATTCGGTATGAGAAAGGTAGTCATGCCCATCCACAGCTCGACCTGCAACCCCGGCCTCAATGATTGTTTCGTTGTTGAGCCTCGTGGTCAGAGTAGTGCTTTGACGAGCCGGTTTGCACATGGCAACATTGCCCTTGTCACAACCAAATCCTGTCTGACAGGAGTCACCATCCAAGCAGGCGCTCATGACTTCTACTTCGGCCAAGTTTAAGAATTCACAGAAGCCCTCTGGGTGTTCGGTCGACAAGAAGACACTTTTCACATTTTCAACAGGTGGTTCGAATGTGGCAATCCACATGAAGTTGATGAGGCTGGAATTGCAGGAAAGAGGCAACATGTGAGCGGCATGATGGTCTAGTGATCAATAATTGGAATGACGCCAAACCCCCTTTACATTACATACCCTTCTTGTTCCAAGCTGTGTTGAATGATAGAGAGTGGTTGGTTTGCCTCATCAAGGAGCTGAACCTTCAAGCCATTCAAACGCTCATAGCAGCAATCTTCACGGTTGTGAACGACGACATGGCTGACCGTTCGGGTTTCCAACAAGTTCACACCCCACCATGGATTCAATTCGCAGTCTGTGTGGGCTAGAGATTCGTCCCCGTCGACTCCTTGGGCTGCGACATCTCCAAAGAATGTCGAGCTCTGGGTGGCTGGTTTGCATTGTGCAACGTTTCCAGTCTCGCAACCGGACCAGGAGTGGCAGTCTTCTCCAGGCAGGCACGTGCGCATGACCTGAATATCCCTGATGTTGAGGTAGCCGCATTCGTCAGGCTCGTGTTGAACTGTGACACGAACCCTTCGAGCAATGGCGCCGTTGAAATTGACGGTCCACGAGTCTTCGATGACGCCTTCCTTCTCGGGTTCATGTTGCATCGATTGAACAGTCTCGCCGAGCACATCCTTGAGCTCAATCACGACTGAATTCAACCGATCGAAGCAACAGTCTTCGCGGTTGTAGAGGATGACCTCGCTTATGGCATAGTCATCCAACAGATCCACTTCCCACCACGGCTCTTCTTCACATTTCGTATGGGACAAAGCTTGGTGCCCGTCGATCGCTCTCCACGCCACACCTCCTTCAAACGTTGAGCTTTGCGTAGCAGCTTTGCACTCTGCCACGTTCTCATAGGCACAAGACGGCCACGTGACACACGACGCTCCATCCCAGCACTCACTAAAGACTTGAACCTCAGCCAGTTTTAGAGTAGAGCACCCACCACCTGACCCCGGTAGTCGGACGCGCACAACGGAGGACAAGTACTCCACCATATCATTCTCCATTCCAAAAATGGCAACGTTTCCGATCGGGCCTGTACTGGGATCATGTTGCTTGGATGTGACAACTTCGCCCGTCTCCCCGTCAACAAGTTCCACCAAGAGGCCATTCATAGAAGACGAATCGCCAGGGATGAAGACAGCCACCATGCTGACGTTATGGCGAGACTTGAGGTCAACCTCCCAGTAAGGACTCTCTTCACATTGAGTCGTTGCTGCTGGAACACCCTCCCCTGCGGCGAGCTCTTCTTCTGTGCTGAACGCCAAGCTATCGACAGCCACAAACGACACCGACTCGTCGTTGGCTGTGGACGACTGACTTGTTGGCTTGCACTGGGCAACATTCTCCAAGCCACAGGGTTGGCCGGTCAAGCAGGCATCACCAAATTGACAGTATCCAAAGACCTGAACTTCTGCCATGTTGAGGAACTTGCACTCGCCCGGAGCAGCCGAGAGCGAAACTTTTATTTCCGACACAATGGGAGGCGTTTCAAAGTCTACCGTCCAAACATTGACAATGTGTCCTTCTGTGTTGGGATCATGCTGGATCGTGTTGTTCTGTTCAATGGGATTGCCGTCTTCGTCAAACAACTCAATCTTGACGTGATCCAATCGATCAAAGCAGCAATCTTGTCGGTTCACAATGGCAATGGTGTAGATTTGATGAGGCGATTCCAATTCAACGTGCCACCAAGGATTCTCTTCGCACTCGGTATGAGAAATGTTGGGACTGTCAATGATCCCATCCACGGCATGGGATGCCACTTGTTCTTGTGCAATGGTGGACTGAGTGGCGGGCTTGCAGAGGGCAACGTTTCCATAGGAGAGGTTCTCGTTGACCGGAGCCAGACTCATGAGTGTATCCAAGGCAGCTTGGACCGTGTATCGGCGTTCACGATAGTCTGTCGGCAACAATTCGGGGTCTCCATACAAGAGGACACCACCGACCCGATCCACAAAGTTTCCATTCTCGCGCATGTCCATTTTGGAATCCACCCATTCCTGGAGTTCCTTGATAAAGTCAAACGACGGATCTTCGGCATGAACCACATCTCGCACCCAGAGATACAAGCCCGTCAAGAAGCGCAATTCGGGAAAGTCGTCGTCGCAAACTTGTCCTGGATTGGCACAAAGATCGGTCGGAGGTCGTTGTTCTGCGGGCTGTTGCGATCCCCACTTGGATTGATAGTCTCCATAGTCACACTGATGGGTCATTTGCAACATGCCACGACCCCACCAGCAACAATCACGCGATGTAATACTCTCCACGGATAGACCACAGGTCATTTGACGCGATGGTTCCTTGGCATCACTCTGAATCAATTCGACAGGAGGCTGGACGGCACATCCTGCAGGGACTCCATTCTCCCATTCTTGTTCATTGGCAAAGCAGCCAAAGCCTTCTTCTTGGAATCCATCAAACGGGAATCGATAGTTGAGACCGTTTTGTCCACACCCGGGGTTTTCCGTGTCGGTGGCATTGTCATTGGGTTCGTCGCACATGCCCGTTTGGAGTCCTGCATGCCAGGCTTGTCCCAACAAGACGGCCAAATGTGCCATGGCAACTTGCAACGTGCCATTCGCGGAAGCCATTTCTCCACCGAGATCCATGGTGCGAGGAGTTTCTTGCAACTGTCGTCGTTGTCGATCAACAATACCCAAACTCTTTTTCTGACTGGCACTGGTTTCCCAGTCATAACTCATTTCGAGGGCACTAATGAAATCTTCCACCTGGTACGTCGAGTTGGCTCCCAGTAAGGGTGCCACTTGTTCCTCACCCTGCCTTAAGAGTTCGGCGACTTGTTCGAGCATGGGCTTTCCTTCTTGTGCACTGTCTTGCTCACTAATCTCGGGATGCTGTGTTCGGGGACTGACCGTGGGCGATTCCGTGGTGGGAGGTGCCACGGGTACGGGTGGCAGCGTCGTGTCGCGAGTTTCCGCTGGTGGCGGGGGAGTTTCGGAAGACGGAAGACAACTATTGTTGTCAATGCAAACAGGATCGGGCAGCGTACAAGGACTACCGGGGCTACACCCGTTTTCGGCCTGAGTACAAGCCTGCGTGCCATCCAAGCCACACGTGCAAGTGTTGATGCCATCGGAAATCCACTGCGTACAGATCCCTCCATCCGAACAGGTAAAGGGTGCTCCGCATCCAGTACCAAGACGGTTGGCGGCTTTCACGGGTGACGCGTTGGTAGTGGTGGGCCCGTTGGCATCCCCTGGAAAGGTGAAGCCCACTAACAAGCGTTGAAGAGGTGATAGCTATAGATAGAAGCAGACGACCAGTGAGTGTGTGCACAGCAAAACCTCCGACTTTGTCAAACTGCCGTTCCTTAGCTTACCTCATTCTTCGTTTCTTCTGTACTGGTTCCCCTTAGCAAGGACGAATCGCTTCCAAAAAGAGACGCGGCTACTACCGTTGCCGGAAGCAGTAGCAACAAGCCCTTCAGCAACTTGGTGGTTCCAAGAAGCATGACTTTTCCAATTGCTTGCTTGCTACCTACCTACCTCAGGGAAGGAAAGAGGGCGATGGATGAAAAGAAAAAAGGCAATTCCAAAGCTTGTTGTGGTGAATGAAGCACTGGGAGTAGTGGCCACCAAGATGGCAAGACGGCAACGGGGTTGGGTTGATTCCATGCAGAGTGGCAGTCTCTTGCCAGATGCCAGAGATGGATCTCATCCAAAATGTGGCTGCGAAAACAGCTTTCAGGATCTGGTCAAAAGCAATCTAAGTATCTAACGTGATTTAACCCACTCGGTATTCAAAGCTTCCCTCCAGTGTCACACAGTCGTGGACGCATTTAACTCTTTTTGCCGAGGATTTCGAATCGAATCGAATGGTACAAGTAGGTTCGATTGAATCATTCGAATTCGTACCCACAAGGTGGTGTCATCAGTCGTGGATGCCTTTTAACGCTTTCCGTCGTTCATGATTCGGGACTCGACTCCGCAGCCTCCGCAGCACCACCACCGCAACACGACGGCAACGAACACCATCGTCCATCCACCGCAAGCATCAGACAACACTAGACTATTGTAACCAAGCCTTTCGCTATCATCCAGACTACTCTGAGACGCTCAGGAAGTGTGTCGTTGGGTGTTATAGGGTCAAAAGTCGGTACTCATCAGCGGCTCAGTCTCCTCTCATCACATGTCGTTTCATCTGGCAGAATCTGTCATCCGATTTTGGAGGTGGATTTTGGGATGTCACCATGATGAGCTCACTTTTTTGTTCAACCGGATTGCTAGAGTTGCATACCCAACCGAACAAGGAAGATTTGCGATTGTTGATAAGCCTAGGCCAGATCAACCCCCCCAGACCTTATTCAAGTCTACTTTTACCTTTTCAATCTTCTATTCAATACCTATCAATTGCAAAATGAAGTTCTCTTCTTCTATCATCAAGCTGCTCACGTGGTCATGGACCACCGACAACAACAACAGCAACACCAAGAAGACCCCCGTTCTCCAGGTCGCCAAGGAGATGACGGGCAACAACAACAACAAGGATGTTCCTGCGGCAGAGGAAGTCCCAACGTTCCAACTGGACGAGTTGGACAAGACACTCGTCGAAACCGCGGCACTGTTGCATGGAGCGCATCCTGATGTGGAGTTCCAGCAGCACGGTCGCTGCCTAGGTGCCTATGACCTTTCCCTGGTTCCTGCGGATCAGCATGGTCACTACGGATACGACAAATACAACCAGCACCAGCCCAAAGGCTGTCGCATCCAACCCAGTCAATCAGCCAACGCTCGCTGGAAGACCCATTACGGTCAAGACACCGAACGGAGCAATGGAAACCGTTTATCCTTTGCTCCCGTCAACACTGTAGTGGGATACTCTTCTGACGAGAGCGAACAAGCTGAGAACCGCCGTGTCTATCGAGACATGAACAAACAAGTGCCGCAGGCCCGATACGAATTCTGGCAAGAAGCCCAACAACAATTCATTTCCGTCGGCACACAAACACCCCACGAACGCGTCTTGGATCTCGTGCAGTTGATTCAAGAGTACGGATACCAACAAGTGGCCAAATGGATCACCAACAACCAATGGTTCGGAAGCGACAAAGCATACCTACAAAAAGCCAAACTGTACATTCAAATTGATGCCGTGCATCAAGACCTCGAGGGACTTGTTCGTTTCATCCAGTCGAAGAAAGGAAATGACAAGCAAGTCGCCCACTGGTTCATGGTCAACGAAAAGAACACTTACATGTTCGAACTCGCCATGTGCCACTTGCACCACGGAGGAATTCAGCGCAATGCTGACGACGAAATTTGCACCTTGAATACGCGAGAACAGATTGCCAAACGACGATTTGTCTATCGCAAGGTCAAGGATGTCTGCATGGAAGATGCAGCACACGTAGAAGTAGAAGACCAACAACCAACAACAACTAAAGACGTCGAGACAATAGAAACAGTCTCGACCGTCAACGACAACAAGATGGCATCCGATGCCACAATCCCATGCGAAGGAGCGGCGGTTCCCACAAGCACAGCAGTGGTCCCATACGTTCAAAAGTGGCATGTGACACACTTCAAGATCAGTGTGCATGGACAACAACCCTTTGTATTGGAGTTGCGAATGATGAATGGTGTGCTACTTGGAGTGGTACCCAACGACATTCTTGCAGCCTCGATGAAGGATGGTGGAAACCTTGTCAAGGAATTGATGCGGCGGCACAAGACACTACGATTGGAGGCTGGCGTAGCCTCGGACGATACGGAGTTCGAATTCGTGACTGGCGACGAAGTGGTAGCTGAAGAACCACTAGTCGAGGTCGAGGAACAACAACAAGTTGATGCTGATGAACCACTGGTCGACAACCGAGTCGACGAGGAGGACAATGCGGACACAGCACAATCAACTTTTCGACGATCGAAGAGACGCATGGCGGCGATTGCATCTCAGAGAATCGCAGAACAAATGAAGACGAGGCCGCGTCGGGTGGCAGTTCAACAACAACCTAGAATTAAACGTAGACGGTCGGCAGCCACCAAGAAAAAGTCGACAAAGCCAAAGGCGAAGGGCAAGAAGAAGAAGACAACGGCGACACAACCTGTGACGGGCACACAGCAGCAAACAACAGTTCTTATAACAACAACTCTTTCTGGACGGCAAGTCAGAAAGCCTGACCGGTACATTCCAGTCTAGGACAACAGGTAAGTAAGTGGGGGCGGCGACGACGGATTGTGGGGACTACTAACACATGAATACAATACACAAAGAGCAAGCATCTGGTGGGGTGCAGGGCTATACAACAATTTTGCGGAGATGAATACAGTTGGTTCAATTGAAGGGTCACATCAAAGGTAGCCAGGTTTGTGGTTCCTGTGCTAGGCAGCCTCTATTACAGAGTGCTTGTCCGAACGTCCTCCACGCGACGAAAGTCCAAAGTTAATACCCGTGACACCCGACAACCAACCTCTATCATTGTTGATGCTGCAATCTTTTAAAGTACAACATAACATAGACATAGAACAATAACACATAGTAGACAATATTTACAAACAAAAATCATGGCTTCTTTCTTTATAGTAGTTGTAGTCGTACTAGCTAGTACCAGTAGTTCATCATTATTGAGGAAGTACTCACGGGTCCTTATTGGTTTGCATGCAATACTGTAAATCGCTTTGAGCAAACGCGTTTTGGCGGCCAATAGCGTTGGGGGCGGGCAGTATGAATGGGACCCTGCTCACAGAGACAATCCACTCGGATGCATTCATTGTCTCGGCAAAGGGATCGGTGCCATTATAAAACGTTTTGACCCAGTTTCTCAAAAAGGACCGCTCTCCTGTGGAAATGGCTTCACCGTAGGGCACACTCACCGCATTATTGACCTGTTTCTTGAGGGTAGGACAATCAACGACTTTGGTAGTTGTCACGGAATAGCTGTCTACCACAATACGTTCATCCTTGGCCAAGCGGAACACAAAGTTGTTACCGATATAGGCGGATTCGTACTTGCTCGTAGATGCCCAATCCCATTGAAAGTCGTTGGGATGCTCCTCCAACCCTAAATGGAACTGGAACACTTCGTGACAGGACTTTGGCTTTCGGGCCAGTGATTCTTTCCACTTGGTCACATTGCCGCGTGGTTCGACAAGTCCTCGTGTGAGAAAGTGACCTGCGAACCGCAAAGCATTCCAAATGGGTATCGTAGACGATGAAAGAGTGTCATGATCGAGGGCTTGAGAGTTGGTGCTGATGTATCCTTCAACATGAAACGACCAAACGTAAGCTCTTACCTGTATAGTATCCATTCACGGGGCACCCAACATGATTGCGAAAGCCAACATCCACAATGTTGCACGGCTGTGAGGCAGGTGGTGCCTTGCGAGCAAAATCAGGATCCCGCACCGCGCCCGCATCTTGCTGAACAACGACGGGTTCCTCGTCGGGTTCTGACGGATTGCAATGGAGCTCGTGGCCGTACTTGTTGGTGATGGGTATCATGCCCACGCGATGCTGCAGCAAGACCATGCCCTGGGAACCGTCTTGGAGGAGCTCGCGAACGTGGAAAACGTGTCCTTCGTATGTCTGAACCGCCTTCCACTCTCCCGGTTTCAAAATTGCCTTGGGGTCATGATTGGGAGGTGCAATCTTGTGGTTCATGGCCGAGACTTCTATCCTGGTCCCATCGGGGCGTTCCATCACAAAGGCTACCACCACTGGAACCGTGGCTGTATTCTCAACAATCCATGCTGTATTGAACCCTTCTTGGAACTTGTCCGAGTCCATGAGGGGCTGGACTGTTTCGGGACAGAAAGACGTCCTTTGAGTGGGTACATTTTGCGTACCAGACTCGTGGAGGCGTTGCCAAATGGCTCGCCGATCCAAGGATTTCTTATACTGGTTTTGTCCTGCAAGATCACACGCCGTATCGTGATGCATTGGTGAAACATAGAAATAATCGTGCGAGGGACAATCCACAACTTCGTCGACGCATCGGACGACAGGGATGACGGCAATCCAGAACGACAACAAGAATGCAACGATACCCTTCATGCTTGATGTATACGGTAGCTAGTTCCCGTAGAGGAGTCGGTGAAAGTTTGAATCGCTTGCTTGTTTCCTTTTTCTTCTTTTGTGCCAACGATGCTCGCCACTATTTCACTTGCTGCACTGTGTTGTGGTCGGATACCAAAAGTGGCTGCAACGCTTCTCTCGTTGCTGGGTTGGTTGGATTTCTACCCGAACACGGTTCTGTTCGCAACAAAGATCTTGGTTGCTCCTCGAAGAGGATCTCTACTAGCTAGCTAGCAGTTTGGTTGCCACCTTTCTGTGCCAGATACTGAGTAGCGAGCTAGCCAGCTAGCTAGAGTGAACAAACACAATTTATCAATGCAAGCCGATGACCGATGCCCGGTTTGTCCTGGTAGCGTACTGGTATCCAAAGCTAGCTAGCGGAGACATGTCTTCGAGGCCAACGCAAAACCAGCAGCCCTGCAATCTTCTGAACATGACTGTCCGTACCGGTAGGACGAAGCTGCAAGTTAGGTCTGTGTGCTGGCACAAGCTCGCGCTGAGAATGTAGTATCCTAGTCGTCTTACTGTAGCATTTCATTGTTTGACTATTCGTCCTTGGTGGGCAAACAGTTGTCCAACACCACCGATTTCATGACTCCGTACGGTGCGGTTCTTCCTGTCCAGAGCTCGAACTGACCCACACCTTGCTCCCACAGCATTTCCGATCCTCGTACAACCGGACAGCCAGCAGCCTCGGCCTGATCCAACAGTTTGGTATGATACGGCTTGTAGTTGACATCGAAAATGACAGGTTTGGAAGACGACAGCACCCACTCGGGCAATACAAACTCGGCTCCCGCGGGAAGCGTACTAATGACCACTCGAATGTCACTGATCGTGGCTCCTTCTTTTTGAAGCAATGCTCCCAGGCAATCCTCTTTTCCTTCCTCGTCCAAGCTCGAAATCACAGTTCCTCCAAAGGACTCGGCCAAATCAGCAGCCTTGGAGGGAGTGCGGTTGTAGTACACTCGGTTCAGTCCTAGTTTGGTGGCTGCGTAGGCTGCGGCTCGAGCGGTCCCACCACCTCCCAAAATCAGTGCCCATCCGCCACTCGAAACTCCAATTTGCCGTTCCAAGGGATTAAAGATTCCCTTCCAATCGGTATTGTCGCCGTACATGACTCGCTTCATGACATCACTCTCGTCGTCATCATCACCCACCTCGTACTTGGCAATGAGCGTATTGACGCTTCCAATCGTTTCGGCGGCATCACTCATGACATCCACATAGGGGATAATCGCCTGTTTGTGCGGGATCGTTACAGAACATCCCCCAAAGTTGTCTCCCTGAAAGAAATCGGATTCGACAAATTCTTGTACCGTCTCGACATCGGCCCGTCCATAAACATGCGGCAATCGGACGGCGGCAAATGCCGCCCCCTGCATTTGCGGACTGACCGAGTAGGCAATATTATGTCCCAAAATGCAATAATTTTGCGGTTCGATAATTTTGGTCAACAATCGTGTCGTCATGATTTCCTTGGCGGACAATTGGCCGGGTGCCGCCTTGAAGGGCAACGATTCGTGTGTGACGGGTGTAAAGGGTAGATTGATAATGCGCGAGAATTGTCCCACGTCACCCAGAATGAGCGAAATATTGGGAATCACCGGTTTGCCGTCGCGTTTGGCCAAACTGGTGGCAATCATGGCGGCATCGTGGGCCATGCGATCCTTGTCGTCCGAGTCAATCGATAATACGACCTTGGCCCCATGAGCTTTTCCGTCCAAAGCACATTGTTGAAAGAGTTGAACGGCTTCGGGCGTCGAAATTTCTGTTCCCACCACATGATGACTGCCCAATATTTGACTGGCATACCGTTGTTCGGCCGTATCCAAGAGCGCTTTAGTGGCGACGGGATCCCAGGCACTTTCAACATCGAGGACTTCGACGCCGCCGCGCAATCCCCAGTGCAACAATTCAAACATTTTCGGAATTCCGTTGGCCGTGTCATCGGGATAGGTTCCAGCTTGATGTTGCGTCCGCACGGTATAGACAATGGGCATGACATCTTCCAGGATTGCACTGCCGGAAAATGGCAATGCCGGGTTTCGCAGTAAATGGGGACGACAGTATTGACGCAACAATTGCATTCCGTGCAACAACTCAAAGCGAGAATCGCGACAGTCCAACAAATCGGCCCGATATTCCATGGCATCCACGTCTTTGCACATTTGATTCACGTACGGTTGAACCTGAGATATCTCGGGAAAACTGAGCGAGAGAAAAAAAGTGTGTTGTCCCATGGTCAAGTGGGCCGTGTTCGAGGAGGGTTGTGTGGAGCCGGGAATGGCGGGGGCCAATCGCGCCCGGGCTACCAGCCGTGTCAATTCCCATTGGATGTGTTCCGAATCATCTTGCGAAGCAATACAGAGTTCATAGTCCGAGTACGGAACCAAGACAGAGTCTTCCAATTCCGTCGACGCTTGGTGCTGGACATTGACGTAAATCGATAAGAGTCCGGCATCTTGATAGAGACGTTGGACCGTCTCCTTGGCATCTTTTTCTTTGGCAGAATCATCTAAAGTGGCAAAATCGACCAGGACAATATTGGGCCACGCAAACGATCGGGAATGAATTTCTTCCAGCAACAAGTCGCCATTGTACGGTACCACCACGGACGCCGACGGAAAGTGCTCTTGTAGAAATCCATTGGCCAGTTCGTTCAATTCATTCTTTTCTCCTGAAGAGGAGGATCCAATCAGCAAGATGGGCTTGTCATAGTCATGAAACATATTTCGTTCTGTTGCAGATTCGCTGGCTGTAGCAGTTGTGGCAGCAGTAACTGTTGTGGTTGTTGACACCTCCTGGGACGCATAGTACTGGTAGGACCGAAAGCTTCCATTATAATTTCGGTAGGGCAAAAAGCCAAAGGAACATGGGAGCAATACTAGGAACCACCAGACTCCAAGAGCCGATCTACTAGTAGAGGTGGGTAGCCTCATCATCATCGTCAGACTATTATTGGAGTTTTGCAGTTTGGCAGTTCTGGCACGCCTTCTTGATGTGTGCTCAGCTGCTTGCAGATGATGGGTCCATCGAGAAGGAATGGATGGTCCTCTGGAAAGATCCAAGATCCATCCAACAAAAAGAGGCTGACGTACGCGTCGTGTCAAGGCGAGGAGCCTTATCTCTAAAATCACATTTAGAGCCAGCATTACTCCTGGAACTGGAACACTAATTTGAGCTCTATCTCTAAAATGCAAGATTACCCAATCTACCTTCTGCTTTCCGGCTCGAGACATCGCCGAGGGCGGCGGGCACTTTTCTCAATCCAAGCTTCTTTTGGTCGGTCAACT